TAATTGAAGAGCTTAATCAATTTCGAGATGAATATGTGACTTTGTGTGAATCCATGGAAATGTTAAGGAATTACTAGAAACCTTATCGTGTTTCAACACTTTTGCCTTATACAATAAGTGGATAACCTTACCTGATAAGGGTCATTTGATTCTCTCATGATATAACATCATGCTAGTCCACATCAATTTGAGATAGTGCTTGACATATTTTCATATTAGATCTGTACCACATGCACCATTCAAGCATAGAGTTATTATGATTGGATTTGTTAATGATTGTCATTTTGTGTAGATACTAATAATTAGTGTTGACATTTACTGTTTATATTATTGATAATGACATTATATTTATCGTTCCTATTTTGTATAGATGTAATAAAGCTGTTATCACCAATAACTTTAATTGCATGCAACAAGTGTAGGATTCGTTATAATTGTGCTTAAGGGTGAGAAATTTCATATATACCGAGCATAGAGGATTTCAAGTTATTGTTTAGTACAAATTCTAATATGATCACTTAAGAAACAATACATAATTAACTATTTACAATAATTGTCTAGCATATTAATGTATATATTAATAGTTTATATTAATGTTGTATATATTGAACATGTTATCTAATGGGATGTGTTATATTTAACATATTATCTAATGGGATGCATTGTATTGAACAGGTAATCTAATGGATGTTTTATAAACATATTTTACTAAATGAAATTAATAAAGTTACAAATCACTACCATACTCTACAGTATTAATACCATACTCTTTCCCCATCAATCTTTTGAATTGAATATATACATGTTGTGGATGAGAGGGCTCTATTTTCATTGATATGGTCAGTGTAAAACTTTTTACAAGGTCGATACTATTGTCGATGCAGTGGGGGGAGAGGTCATGGGTATGGCCGATGGTGTCGTCACTATTGGGGGTGGGGATGGAGTAGTTTAGGGGGTACAGATGTTAATGATGGGATTGGGAATGGAGCAGGCATGGGCAGCCTAAACAGTGAATGTGTTGATGTTCATATCCAGACTGAACAGGCAAAGACGGTATGAATGCCGAAAATAATGGTGCAAGAGTTGATGTCTAATGCGACGCTGCCAATCTAGATCGACTATTATTGCTTGCTGCAATTGATAACCCAAACAATATAGCATGTGCTTTAATATCTGTATCTTTTTATACATAAAAAATCTACTGTAATCCACCGGACAAAACTTGCTTAAAAACAAACAAAGTAATCAAGCTTCACTACAAAATATTAATAAGATGATCAGTATTGATAACACATAATTAAAATTAATAAAGTAATCATAATTATAAAATCATAAAATTTATAACTTATAATATCACTGATAGATGCACTATCGACCATGTGAGACTGAAATCTAGATCTATGTTTTGGAGTTTGAATTTGACAATGTGAAATTGATACAAACAAAGTATCATAATCCTATGAACACTCGTTCGATCTAACATTTTTAGCATTGACACTTAGCTGGCATAACATACATATCTTATCTCTCCCAGTATTGGTTCAGAAAACTATATGAAACATCATACATGTTGGATGATGAACCATATTTAGTTTGGGATAGGGCTAAAGAAATTGAATGAATGGTTTGTACAAATCGAAACTATCGTAGGAACCTTTCAGGATGATATGGCTTTTGCTCTATGATGGTTTTGTACTTGATACATCTTATAAAAAATGTAATATCATGTAATAGATGTTCTTTTTATTGATCGACATATGATTCCCAGCACACATCAGATACCATCAACACATCCAATCGCTCTAATAAGGCTTATAATGTATCAACATAAATACAAGCCTTCTATCGTCGAACATGCAATTGATCATCTGTGTATGTCAATATGTCTACCAGACTTAATGATGAAAATTGCTTATAAATCTACGCCTGTATGAAATATATGAGTAATATTTAATCACATAATCACATAACTAATAATAAATAAATCAAATAATTATAATATATTTTGACTAATCATAAATGCATACTTAGAGAAATATCAGATAATCAGCGATCTGATGTACGTTTGCCTTGCTTGCAATGCTAAGCTGCTTGTACAAATATGTTAGGCAAACTATCCCCAAACATATCTACTAGAGGCATTAAGGTTGCTTAATAGAGTTCAGTAAACTACTAATACTTTCATCACGCTCTTGTCAACAAATAATGTACGCCTTACTAGATGGAGTAAAAAAGCTTGGGATGCATACTTTATCACTTGATCACCTAATGTATCTATTATATTTTAGTTTTAAAAGTATCTCACAACCACTACAATCGAATAACGGGTCTACGAATCTTATTAGACTCTATTACAGCCTTAGATGTAGAATCTCTAAGTAATCTAACCAATAGTATGTTTGCCTTATTAATTGTCAAATAATTAACTAAAATATGATCTCGATGATCGGTATGTGTAGAATTGTAAATACATCATCCAATGCTATGGTTAACTCTCCAAATGGTAGATGAAATGTGTTAGTTTTAGCTGGAACCTTTCAATAAAAGCCAACACTATCATATTATTTATCAAATGATAGGTGTAATTAAAAAGTGAATCCAACCTTGACTTGACTATATTGGCTTAGATACATCTATGTGCATTGTTTAGAGGCCAATGCTGTAATTTAAGTCCATGATTAATCGATTTTAATGGATCTCACTCTTATAATAATAACAAAAATAATAAAATCAACAATATCAACAATTTTAACAACATAAACAATATCATCAACAATAACAATCAACTAATTCATTTTAAAAACATAAACTAACATTATTGTATTATATGATTCAAGTGATTACCTAACCTTTAAGAAAGGTTGAGAAATTGGCTTTGCATTATCATTTCCATCCCTATCATGATACTTGTGGATGGTAGGTTCCTTATCATGAGTGGAAAGTTCAACTTGTAGAATATCATATCCTACACGGTTCTCAACTAGCTTATTATCTTCCTTGACTTAGCATCTCCTCTTAAAGGCAATCAAATGCTTTTAACTTGGACTAGGATCAGTTGCGATATGTTCATTACCTCTATCAATACCTCTACCTCTTGTACGAATGCCTACACCTAGAGTTCGAGCCATATCTATTATGATATTATACAAAAAAGCAACATTTCAATAATAACAAATGGAATGACTTTTAATTTTTAGCTTACAGAAATAGATTTTCACAAGCTTTGAAAAGCTTACAAAAATTCATTTTCGTAAGCCTTTTAAAGCTTACAAAAATTCATTTCTGTAAGCTTTAAAAGGTCTATGAAAATAGATATCTAAGAAATCTTCAAAGCTTATAGAAATCCATTTATGTAAACTTTAAAGGTTTATGGAAATGGATTTCCCTAAGCTTTAAAGACTTATAGAAATTCATTTCCTTAATACATGATTTCAACAAAAAAAAATCCTAAATCGTAGATTATAATAAACCCTAACAAATCAGCTAAATTAATTAACAATTATTTGGAAATCTTATCTAAAATAAATGGAATACTAATAAAATTTATGATTTAGGGGTTTGTTTGATGGTTTTGTGTTAAATTTGGATTGAGATAGAAAAACTGAGAGAATGTAGAAGAGACAAGAGTGTAAAAGGTATGAAGAAAAATGTAAAATATTAGAATGGGGTATACGGAGTAAAAATATTGATTTATATTTTAAATGTTGGATGTATTTAATAATGGGGTTTCAAAAGTAATATACCCTTTCGTTAAACCAAAAACATAACCATCTACTCTCCGAATAAAAAAATCTCCTTTGCCTTCAACCAGCCACCACTATTCTCTTTCTATTTTCGCTTCTAACTTAGCAACAATTTAGAGAACCCAAAAACCGAATCTCAAAGCCCAAGTATATTGCTGCTATTTATCTATTTTTCTTTTGCGTAATGCCCTTTTTTTTCTTCAATTCTTGATTGTTGAATGGGTTGTCTACTAGTTTGGTGAAGATTGAGTCGATTGCTTCTGTTTTTCTCTAAATGTCTGCTCTACGTGTGCCGAGTATGGGATTGTGATACGTGTTAATGATATAGGATTGTGTGAGGCTGACTGCGCTTTTTCTGGGTATGGGTACTTGCCTGCTGGTGGTTTTTCTGGTGGAATTATGGCCAAATTGTGAATTGTTGGTAGACAATGATGGTGGAAAATGGTGGTCTCGGGCCTAGGTAGAGTATGACCAATGGGATCTAGGTAGGCAACGGTGGTTGGTAGGCTAGATTTCGGCTATTACTTTTCTGTTCGTTGATTGTGGCTGATTCCCATTGTAGTTATTGATGATTCTTTAAATAAGGATTTAATCTTAACCTGAAAAAAAATTATTAAACTTTAAATCTCACTCAAATTAAATCTTAGATTTTTAATCAATTTCTTCTTCCGTCCTTACGCAGAATCCATCTAAGTATACTTAATATTTTAGTTCTAACCAAAAGTGCAATTAAAATAACGAAAGTTTATAACCTCAACACAATTTCAAGAATTTCTTTTCTAATTGACCAGACTCTTTTTTTCTTTAATTAAAAATAAAAATAACCCCATATTAAATAAATTCAAATTTCGAAATTCAAAATATAATCTTAAAATGCGAATTGAATTCAAACTTAAATGAGACATCTAAAAAACTTTCAACTGGAAAATGACTTTATAATGACAACCTTGAATTTTCTTCAGGTCCTTTTTTTATTTTTATATTTATTTTTAGATTATAGTCTCTTTTTAACCAAAATAATTTTTTTTTTTTTTAAAAAAGACAACCCAAAATCTTTAATAACCTGAATAGAAAGGGATAGAAATCTGAAATTGACCCGAGCGTTTGTTATCGTAGGTCCAGATGTAACATGCAGTGTAAAAAAGTGAAACTCTATGGTCAGGAAAAAATCTTAAAGGATCTCACATCCTGTGCAGTAGTATACTCTGATCACGATTATGAACGTAGAATTGTGGATTGGAAGAAAAGAAAATAATCGACGCATTTTTAGATCACGCTTGCATTCTTATCAACAAAACAGCATCCTCTCCATTTCGTCTACTAGAAAAATAAGAGGATGGTGGAAGAACCACATCTTTATCTTTCTATACGTTGTGTTTAATTTAAAAAGACGAAAGTACACAAAAAAAATGACAAAAAAATGCATATTATTGACAATTAAAATCCTGCCACACTAGGTCTTCTAGTGGTTGCTGATGATGATCTCCGACTTTCTAGCCTTTCAAGCTCCTCTAATGATAGGGTAGAGGAACAAGCACGAGGTGGGAGGGTGAAAGGCAAAGCAGGTGGTGGTCTTGTAGGAGAAACTGACAGCCGGGCTCCTGATGGTGGTGATGGTGAGAAACTTAGCCTGGGTGCGGGAGTAATAATCCCATTAAGACTAGGTGACCTTGATATCTGTTTTCCAGCAATTGCCACTGGCTCTTGTAGAGGAAAACGACAGGAATATTTCACGTCTTGGACGATTTTGAGATGCTCAACTATGGTTCTCATGGTAGGCCTTTCAGTTGGGTCCTTCTGGAGACATCTTTGTGCAACGTCAGCCACTGTACGGGCAGCTTTCATAGGAAAGCGACCTTTGAGCTGAGGATCCATGATGAATGACAATCTACAATCATCAGCTAGGAATGGTCGGCTCCACTTCACTAGGTTCCTCTCTTCCCTAGGACGACGGCTGTCAAGGTTCTTCCGGCCAGTAAGTAATTCAAGTATAACAATTCCAAAACTCCAAACATTGCTCTTTGGAGTTAGCCATCCTCTCTCCAGGGTCTCTACTGAAAGATTTCCCACAGCCTGCACAGATGGAGAGATAGTCAACTCGTCACACCAAGGTTTGTCTTTTAAAAGAAAAATCACGAGGCAAAATGACTTACAGCTGAATTAGTGGAGATCTCTTCTGTCTCTGGGATATGACCAACGCACCCATATCCTGAAAGCTTTGCACTGAAATCTTTGTCAATCTGTATGTTGGCAGTTGAAAATTCATTGTACATTGCCTGCAAATGATAGAAACTTTATATAATTACACATTAGAAACTTTATATAATTACACATGCATAGAATTGATCGAGCAATTCGGAAAATAAAAGCAAATTCCAAAAGTTGCTAATAAACACAAACTCATGTAGCAAGAATGGGAAATTGTTTCATAATATCCACAAAGGATTAAAGCAAGATCGTCATCCCCATTTACACATGATCAAAGTTCAACTGTAGAGGCACATGATACAGTACCCTCCATTATACTATGACAAAATGTAGGTGCACATATGGATTTTAACTACCTGAAATGGTCCTTCCTCATGCAAGAAAGCAAGACCTTGTGCAGAACATAAAGCAATTTTCATTCGAGTATTCCAATCAAGTGGAGGTCCATCTGATCTCCCATATAGAAGCCCGTCTAAGCTTCCATGAAACAGCCTCTCATAGACCAACATTCTTTCTTCTGAACTATCACGTGCATGGAATCCAAGCAATTTACAGAGGTTTGGATGTTGCAATGATGCAAGAGTGTTTGCTTCATTTATAAACTCCTTGAAACCCTATAAGAACACAGAAAGAAAACAGTGAGACCAGATAACATTATCCTCAAAACATTTCAGAAATTAAAAAGCAACTGTTTTTGCAGCATAACGAGCACAATATTCACCACTTGTTGAACTCCATTTTTTTCATCACTAATGTGATTGCAATAATTTCAATTTTAAATTATTGGCATGCATACAAAGGAAAGTGGATAAAACAAAACTGTATTTTTATAGAAAGCAAGTGTGTTACGCGGATGATAATAGCAAAAGTAGTAAAATTACATGTACAGAAAAATAATACATAAAGGACTAGAACAACACAAATGCTTCCCATTAAATAAATCAATACTGAAGGATCATGAAAATTTTGCAAACTAATATAAATTACTAACAACTTCCTTCTTCTTTTAAACTGGAAACAATGTCAGGCAGGCAAAGAATCAATAAGTCGAAGAGTGTAAAAGAAAAGGAAAGGCATGCAACTGGGAACTTAGTGGTTCGCAAAACAGAGTGCCCCATAAACCATAAACTTTCATTATTAGAAACTTTCTTGTACCTGAGAGGATGGGTGAAGGCGAGTAACAGTAGCTTCAAACTTCTTTGAACTTGAAGTATCATCTCCAAAAGAAGCCTTATACAAAACAGAAGAAAGACCCTCAGATGTGCATCGATCAGAAGAGAAATGATGGCAAGCAGCTGCAATTTCTTCGTAAGCAAAGTTTCGTAGTGTTCCAGATGGAGGCAGGGGCAATGGTCCAGAAGCAAATAGAGAGCAACTGGCATTTCCTGCTTTAAAGCTTCCCATTGACTTCAGCACCGTACTACGTGGAGAAGGAAGTGGAAGAGGTTGTGGACTTGATGACCTCTGTTCCTTCACTACTCCAACACGACTCTTCAACTCTTCCTGTTCTTCAAATTCAACTGATAGTGCATCTTGCTCAGCGGCATCAAGACTTGATGGAGCTGATAAAGCACGGGTCCTATTGCTGGATGCCTTGTTATTAGGTAGAACTGGTTTTACTCTGGTTCTAAAACTTGGGGGTGCAGATTGCAGTGATCGGGTCTGAACTTGAGGCTCAGGCAGAGTGGTGGGAATATGCTCCTTATGAGCAATGCGTTTTACAAAAACTGACTGCTCAGACTTTTTCTTCTTACTTTTCAAAACTGTAAAACACCCCATGTTATATACAAATTCCCTAAACTGTATTTAGGTCTTCTATGTTTCTGCCAGAAGGAAAATAACAAAGCACACAAATCAATGGAAGTTTTGGAATGGTGAGATTTTGGAACATAATTATGCTAATATATAGGCGTAAGAACTCTATTGCAAACAGAGTGTGGGAAGGACAAAAAGAGATTGGAGTAACTCATTGTCTTATCATATCAGACGAAAATTCATATTCACCAACAAAAGAAATAATCTAAAATGCCCAGTGCCTAAACTACAATATTTGAGACATCGAACATCTCTTCATAATAAAAACTAGGTTTCATTTCTTCAACAAGTTACATGACGTATTGTAAAATCATATATATAAGAAAACATTTTCAAACAGATATCTGCACCAAGATTGCATTGTAATTTACATAAAGTCATCAACCCCCTCCCCATACTCAATTCAATAACTGCATAGATTCTATGACTGAGGCTTAAAGCCCAAGCAGTAACACCTTGCTCTAACAAAAAGTGTTTCAAGTTCAAATCTTTTATAACAATGACGACAAACGACTAAACAGGTTACTTGTGACACGTTATATCCCCAACTTGTCAAGTGGGTTGTGAATTTCAAGTGCAAAAATTTATTAATAAATCATTGACATGGCTCCACTAAAGAAAAAAAATGAACCACATGGAACAAAAAAATGCAATTTACTGGCTATAGAATCGCAGGAGAAATTCTTTTCTTCTTTAAACTACAAAAAACACTCACTGCTCCAGAAATCATTTGCATGGCCTAAATCACCATATACACAACTTGGCAACATAACTTTTTAACAAAAAAATTAGCAAATGTGTAAATCATCACCTGGGTAAAAAAAATTCAACCCCAGATCCAAAATAATCCAAACTTGAGAAAAAAATTCACATATGTCAATTAACTATTAGAATTTTCACATCAGCATGATTAATATAAAGCAGAGCATACGAATTAAAGCAATTATAAAACCAAATCAAGCAAAAACACAACTTTAAGACAAAACCCCCACCTTGAAAGCATTAATGAATATTCAATATTTCTAGCAGAAACAATATAAGGAAAAAAAGGGTGAGAATCAAACCTTACGAAAGCAGATCATGCAAACAAACCTAGAGAGATAGATTTATAGGGGCAAAACGGTGAAAGAAGAAACCCTGTTTGTTTCTGGTTGGTTGAGGAAAACACCTTTGCAAATCAAAGAAAGCTAATCGGAAAAGACGTTAAGGAAAAATTTCTGAGAGAGAGTAAAATTCCCAAAAAGATGAGAAAAAAAAAAGGTAAAGAGAGAAAGAGAAAGGGAGGCTAATGAGAGAAGTGGTCAAACAAACCAAAACCCAGATTTAATTAACAATTAAAACTTATAATTATTATTATCTCACCTCAATAGAAATGTGCTTCCCATTTTTTCAGTTTGACACTTTTGTCCTCCACACCCGCTTATACAGTAATATTATTATTATTTTCTCTTAATTTCTGATTTAAAAATAAAAGAATTTATAGAAAATTTTTAAATATCTTTGTTTATAATAGTATATAATTTGATTGTTTGACAATTAAAAAATTATATTAAAAAAGTTATTACTTATTATATCTATTTTAATGAAAATATTCCTATTATTATGACTAGCAGATTAATAAAATAAACCCACATTATTTTAATAATGGCTTTGAAGAGCCAATGGCATGACGGAAAATATTGAAAGATACGTGGATGAAAGGGTAAATTAGGAGGAAAACTCGACTTTCAAGGAAGAGCGCCTCGATTGATATGACAGGGCAGTCAAAGTTTAGAAAATTAGTTTTCTTTAAAGCATGTTTCCGGTGTGGTCAAAGTGACCTACCAAGAAAGGTATTCGACTATCAATGGTGACCGTCCGATTCATTCACTGTTGAAAGTTCCTCGGTCAGGATCTGTCTTTTATAAAGCTTGGTGAGACCCACCGACATCAACAATAATGTCCTTTGCCTGATCTGGCGGTGAACACGCGCCTTTTCACTGTTCATATTTCGATAACTCTTGGGTTGGGTTGGGTTGGGCCCAATGCGGATTCAGGCTGGGATCATGGGCTTATGCTCCTTTGTTCTTGGAAACTTATAAATTCCGGTACGATTTGTAATTTTAAAAGTACAATCAGCTTTTAAAAACTTGAAAATGAAACTATCCATTTAACTGCTCCGTGACTTCAGATGCGGGAGACCCAAAAAATTATCTGTGACTTCGGATTTGGCAGACTTAAAAAATTATCAAATATTCTGTTATTATAATTATTTAACTTTACAATTGTGATAAATAGGGTGAAATATATTTCTTAGCATTAAAAGAACTAAAAAAAAATACTGCCGTCATGTTAACAGATGTTAAAAATAAATAAATTTAACTGAAGTCTGCTTTTAAAAATAATTTAATAAAAATTTTATAAAAAGTTTAAATTGGTAGATTAATAAAATTTAATGTAAAAATTAATAATATGTAAAAAATTAAAAATATTATTTTGTAATTTAAATTTGTTCAGTATTTATTTAAAATAAATATTTTGTTAATATTTTAATTAAAAATATTTATCTAAAAATATATATAATTTTTTTAAATTTTAAATTTTTTATTTATATAACAAATTTTTTTAATTTATTAATTTTGATTTTTAATTTTATTTTTTATTATTTTTAATAAAAAATTTTACCAACTTCGTCAAAAAACTGTCTAAATTTTCTTAAAAAAAACTCCCCTTAGAACGTATACAAAGTAATTTCTGAACTTAAAAGGAAAAAAAAAAACTTGCATTTGCAATTGGCTCTTAGAATTATGTAACAATTAATTTCCTCTCTTCTATTGAAATTTTGACAAGTACAGTGTGCTCAAAGCGACCCCAGTCTTCAGGCCGATGCTCAATTTGTATTAACTTCCCTCTCGAACAACTACAACAACGCTCTTATGCTGATCATCACCTAATCCATTTTCTGGTTGTCGCCGGGCAGAGACTTCCCGGATTGTCTCGGCGTTTACTGTATCATGTTCCAGTAATGAATGACGAAAATTCGGGCAGGATGGGTGTGATACCAGCCATGTGTCTATGCACCTGACATGAAATCCATGGTTACATTTTAGCAGCATTCTAACCTTTTCTCCATCCAGAAACTTTCCAAGGCAAATCGGGCACTCAATGGATGGAAAACTCACGCCTGTCCTATAAACAGCTACAGGAATTTGTTTTAAATCTCGTTTTTTGAGGCCTGTTGCGGCAAGGCGAGCTGCTGCTTGTTCTGGAGTATCCAGGGCAAACCTGCGGCTGCAACACAGAGCGCAACGCACTATTGAGTTCAATCCCAGCGCAAAGATCAGAGCACATAAAAGGGCTGCCAATATAATCACCATGTTGGTGTCAAAATTTGTCTGGCTAGTGTAAGAATCATGAGTTTTGTTTCTTTTTGCTGGAGGCAAGCTCACTTCTGTCTCAAGCAGACGGCGATGCATATTCACAGTTGCAGGTAACCACTTGAAAAACTGAGGTAAAAACAAAAAAGCAATCAACTTTGGTGAAGAACAAGTGTTTCAAACCCCTAAAGGGTATAGCTTTTGGTGGTTTTGTTTGATGTAAAGGAAAAGGATGGGGAAAGAGGAATGAACTGATTTTCTTTTCTTGGTGTCAAGTCGGTTTTCCATGGGCAGAAGCAGAGCATAGAGGAGTTGGGAGGTTCTTTTGGGCTGCAGTAATGTTGTCAAAATTCCAACTAGAAAAAAGACATAGAAAGAGCATCTTCTTTGTCTCTAGGATAAGGAAAAAGGAAGACTGAAAATTGTATCGTGGGCGAATGTTATCCGAATCGGGTATCGTTTCGCTGCAGGATTCCCCAGCTTCTAACACAGTACGGAAAACATGTTTCTTCTTGTGGCCAAAAACGAACAATAAAACAAAAGACATTGAGATTTGAGAGAAGAAAATTGAAGCCTCTCTCTGTTTTTGCTATAGAATTCATGGCTAGAGGTTGCTCAATGAGATCACAATTCTCCCTTTCATCGCCTAAAAACTAGAACACCAACCTTTCTTATGCGGTTGCAATAAGGAATGGGAGGCTAATTTATATCAAGCTGATTGTTGCCTTTGTGGGGGTCAGGTTTCAAAAGATCCATGCTCAGATACAAATGGAAGATCCAAAGTAAGATTTAATTATGGCTGGTTTGCCTCCTAATCATCGCTGGCCACTTTAAAACCATTGATCCGATCACGATCCCCTGATTAAACAGTTGTTCTATAACGTAGTAATTCCAGCGTGGTTTAAGCCGAGGGTTTGGTCATGTGGGAGATGCAGCTTGATTCATAGTGGAAAGTTTGCTTCGCTGCCATTTTCTGATTTGGTTACTTATATAACTTTTGACATCATCTACTAAGAATGAAAATCACCCTTGCCTGCAAAATATCTTTTACCCTTTTTCCCTTCTTTAACTACCAGAGTGAACTGATGTTATCCTTTTTAATGATGGAAGCAATTTCATGAACAGAAAATGCAACCTGGACATTCCACCCAAAAAAATAAAAAACATCAAAATATTGCAGCTTAGGCAGATTACAATATTTAGGAGTAGTCTTTAATCAAATTATCATGTCTCAAACTATTAAATCCAATAATCTAAAATATGATACAATAACACATGATATAAATATGATATAAAAAAAAATATAAAAATGATAAAATTTAAAATTTTAATAATAATTATATATGAGTTTAACAAAACAAAAAAATATAAATTTTATATTTTTGTGTTAATATGAATTATGATATATAATTTTTTATAAAATACGATATAAATATATGAATTTTAATATTTTATTAGATATAAATATAAAAATCATCAAATCAAATTATGTTTTTTTTTAAAAAAAAAAAAAGGGTCGGGTGGAACACTGATTGACCTTTTCTTTTCTTTATAAAACTTCTACGATGCAGATTTTTGTTTTTTGGCCAGTTTCTATCTGCAGATGAAGACTTGTCCAATTGGTGACAACAACTAATCCTGTGACCAAGAGATTGGTCTGTCTAGGACACGATGAGTGGACTATGATTGTCGGGTTTTTATGTTATGTTGTTGATGTTTGATGAGGCGTTGGACGCTCAGATGGAGCGTGGCCCTTCGTGGCTGGTTTTGTTGAATTTCAGGTTACATCAAGAGAAAAATACCCATGCTTCGAACCACTTTGCAAATCTCATTGTTTAATGTTTATGCAGTTAGGTAATAAAGAATGTACAGCTGTGGGCAGTTGGATACATCGGATCCCCCCAATTTTCTCATCAATACTTTTCAAGGTCAAATTAAGCTTGGTCTCAATAGATGGCCTCAGCAACCAAAATAAACATTACCAGACCTTGAGCTTTCTTAAACTAACCTTGTGTTAGGGACATTATCACATTGAAAAGGGAACAAATGTTGGTGGTGGTCCTAAATAATCATACTTGAAGGACAAGAAAGCTCATGAAAGAGGGACAATATTGAAAAATTTTCATTCATTTTATTAGAGGTTTCAAGTTTGAGTTTTAGGTTCTTAATGACAAATTGAAAATTTTTAAGTATGAAAGTTTAATTTTGAACATTTTGTGGTTTATATTATAAAACTAAAATTTAGCCTCGACTAGGACGGGATCATTAATTTTTTCATTTAAAAATATATATTATTTTAATGTTTTGCTTAATAATAAATACTACATAGATTTCAACCTCTATAGGACCGCAGAAGATGTTTTAAAAAAATGACAAAAATGCTTTATCATGATAGATGCATACACACATACATCAAAGTGGAATATCAAAGTTATATTTTTGATAAACTATTGTTAAATAATACATTTCGTCATTTCTATTCCCACTATATTCACCGAAAGTAATCAAGTGCTTCTGCTCACCAATTTTTGTTGAGCAAACTGTATTCACCAAAAGAAACCAATTGCTTTTGCTTATCAATTATTGTGGAGCAAATATCTAGCATTTGCATTCTTTAATTGACAATTCAATGGACTACGTATGTTTATAATTTACACATCGACGGATCTTAACTTTTGATTTTTATGATGCCATTTAATGTTATACTGAATTTTAATTTTTTTCTTCATATGTAAACTACTATATATATATATATATTATCAATATAAATATATATACAAGAAATAGAACATAAATTTTTCTAAAGTGGTTAATATAAAATTATATCAAAAATATTTACAAATATACAAGGCAAAACATAACTCAAAAGTTCATGTTGTTAGCTCGAGCTTATGACATCTAAACAATTACAACATAGTAATGCAACAACACTTAAAATCTATGGTCTCCTAAATGAGTGAGCTATATTGTGGAGATTCACACTTAACCTGCAACATATTGTTCGCTTTGACCGAAGGTCTCATAGTTTTATCACACAAAAGATATCTCACAAGTTTGGGTTTAGATCTATATATATATATATATATATATCATTCTTTATCCACACATTCTTTCAATATGGGATTGGGGGGGCGTTACAATTTTTTCACCTTTAAAGCTTGACGTCCTTGTCAAGTCGAGTCCAACCACATGATGAAGATCACACCAGACCACCACGTAGTAATTAGTGACTCCCACGGCCTCATCATGTAGCACTTAGTAATTTTCACGGTCGCCGACTAGTGACCGCTCTGATATTATTTGTGAAAACCCACACCCAACCTGCAAGGTATTGTCTGCTTTGACTCGAAGGTCTCACGATTTTATCCCACAAAAGATACCTTACAAGTTTGGATTTAGATCTATACATATATATCATTCTTTATCCACATATTCTTCCAATGTGATATTGAGGGCGTCAAATATATTCCATATTCACATGTCAAAAATTAATTTTGTCGCATTTTCAAATCATAAAACATAATATGCAATTTCATAATTAAATACTCAACACTTTCTAACATTTTTCCTACCTTTTTTTCTAATTTTTTTCTTTTTCTTTCTCAATTTTCTCTGCAACCAAAGAATTAAATAAACCAAATGAAAATGAAAGAGTGAATCCATAAATTAGTGAGGCATAATAATTGGATTCATATAAAATAGATAGCAATAGATATTTTCAAATATCACTATCTAAATAAAATAAAAAGGCTTACCTCTACTTGTACCTTAAAAATAAACAAATGAAAAATGAAGCTACAAACATTAAAAAGTACAATAAATTTTGATGCAAAATGAAAAATAAAAAGATAGTATTACTTACCAATGACACCACTAAGCATGCAAAAGAAATAAAAAAAAAAAAAAAGAAATCTTAAAGTGAAACAATAAAGTGAAGGTTATGTCGAGCAATAAAAGTACAATAAAGACACTTGAATTAGGAAAGTGAAATCTAAAGAAACACAATACAGACACTTGAATGAGAAAAGTGAAATATAAAGCAATATATGGTTTACAATATTATCCATCTTGTGCATGAAATAGCCAACCAATACCTTTTCAATTTAAAATTCATAACTAATATATAATATATTGTCAAAGCCAAGGCAAACACACCTTAGTTCTTGTAATAGGAATATGGCATAACTCTTGCCTTATATTAGTAATTTAGCTTACAGATTACAAATTAGAGTGAAAATCCAAAAAAAAAAAAAAAGGATAAGCAATTCAAAGAAATTTTGAGGTTAAAAAAGCTTGATAGGAGGTAAGTTACAATGGATTTAACTTATTTGTTCACAATCACTTGTGGTACTCAAAATCATAATTCCCTATATGGCTAACCACCTCAAAGAAACAAATTTCAAAATAAAAAGCTTTTTTTTTCTTAATTTTATGGGAAAGTCACACTTCATCTACATTTCATGACATGTCATAACTTTTCTTAATTAATCTCATTGAATAAAGATGAATGAAAATACTAATTTATAAGGCAATGAAATCAAGCTGCATGATATCATGAATGTCCAAAATCTACTAAAATTCTTATTGTAGACAATGTGCTAGTTTATGCCAATTTACAATGATGGTTCATGCCTAAGAGTTTAAAAGAAAATTGATAATTCTAGATAACTCATATTGACTAAGAAATCTAAGAAAAAAAAAGAAGAAAAATTTGTACTACATTGCAAACAAATTCTTAACACAAAAAATAAAATAAAATAAAATCCATAAAAAATATATATTATGATAACAAAGAAAACTCGAATCACAATTTAAACAGACTTAAAAAACATGAAAATAAAAAACTAACTCTGGAGAAAAAAATTAGTGATTAATGTTATAGAAAAAATTTAGTTGTTTACCCATAAGAAAAAAGCAAGAACCCATAAGTGCCATCACCTGCAGAACTAATAGAAACTTTAATATTGACTTAAAAAAATAAAAGAATAAAGAATCAGTTTAAAATAAATGCACTAGTCAACATTAAATAAAATTCAATTTTTAACCCATATAAATTATTCAAATTTGAATCCATATAAATGATCCAACATAACAAAAATCAAGCCAACCTACATACTTATCAACATAAAAGAGCCTAGGAAATGCATAAGGTAGCTTTAAACATACCAAGGTATAAACAAGCAAAATAATTTGTAGAATTTAAGCAAAATAACCATAATTACCATGATAATCTACATTTATTAGATGCTGAACAAACCAAAATTACTACCTTTAAAGCATCCACTACCAAGTATTTTAGTCATTATTTAATATAATTTTCATACAGCATTTTGCCACCTTATTTATTTAGAGGTAATTTTGGGAATGGCTCAATCTATAAACAACCTCATGCATTTTCAGTGGCAATGCATGAGGTTGTTTGGCTTAAGAGATTCTTAAATCATTTGAGATTTAAGAAAGATAAGTCCAACTTAGTGTTGGTGAATTACAATAGTCAAGTTACAAACACATTAAAAAAAGATCTCAAATATTATTTTAAGAGCAAACATATGGATACCAAGTATAACTACGTGAGAAACATGGTTACACAAAAAAAGGTCAACATATAGTACAATTTTT